TGGTTTTCACTAGTGAATTGTCCAGACGACTAGATAAACTAAAATGCATATATTCTAGAATCAATGAAATGTTTTCAAATACGCTGAATGATGTGCTACAGTAAGTTGCACAATAACAATTCTGGACCGAATACATGTATGCAGAGAAGTCTTCAATGATTAGCGAATGAAAATCTATCTATCATAAAACGAATGTTCAATACGACCAAACTGTATATTAGTTTCACAACGAGACCAGTATCGGTACAATACATTAGGAATAAATTACTGATAATGACAATTCCAATGTGCTCATATTGGATGAACTGCTACTGTTCAGCTAGTTATATAGGCCATAGTCAGAGAACTTAAGTTTAGCAAACTCATGAATGTGTGTCAGCTTAGTTTCGCAAAATGAGTCAAAAAATCGATCAATAGCGGTAAACTGTTCCGTTTGGCAGACAGTGAGCATCAAATTTAAACAGATCAGCCCTTCTCGGTGGCAAATAATCTAGAAAGCGGAACACAGCAACGTTTTCTATGCACAGCGTAACCATGAGAATTATACATACACTACGCAGCAGCTCGCTGTTTTCTACTGTTAAGCTATAGTTATGTAGAGAAGTGGCTAATTACTCTACTCACTGGACTTGTAACCAGCAAGTCGTGGGTTCGATACCTGCCTTACCTACCGAGGTTTAGGTAACCACATAGCCCACACATAATGGGTGTAGCTTATTGTTTAGTGCATGAAAATGCACTGTACAGCTGAGAAACACAACCATTAAAGGTAAAGGACATAAAAAGACTCTCGATGTTTAATCATTGTTGCCTTAAAGGTATTGGCAGTGTGACATGAAGCTATCATGTGTCATGTGAAAGATAGGCGTAGGCTTTCAAGGAAAAAGAAGTAAGTCAACTGATGAGATTGTGAACCTTCATTGAGTTAATTGGCTGAGACGTGTCACACATACTTAGTTACTATCCACTCCAAAGCCTTATCTCAGCTGGGGAGGAGTCGAGTTGAAAATAAGCTTAGGGCGATTAGTTTACGAAGTCTTAGGCTAGTGGTCTGAGTAATGTGTAGAAATGTAGACTTTTAGGTTGGTGTCTACGTGACAAATGAAATTGGAAGTTGTTCCATCTAGGTGGTATGATTCAGAATCAATCACAGGAAAGTAGAAGATTTTCCACTTTATCTTCATCTTAATCGTAACACTGCATATTTTTCACTCACCTTATAGCTTTCTGTGACTTTTATTATATTACTTGTATTCTCTTGTCTTTCATCATGTTTTCTTACATCTTGATGTGACGTGTTGCAAAGGGGATTGTTCCGGAGTAGTTGTAGGTTTTATGTGTATACTGACTGACCGCTTAAACGTGTTAATGTATGATGTGAATTAAACTTCAGAAGAAAGGTGTTTTGAGGAACAACTTACTATCCACAGTATACGTCGTTTCAACTGCTACTTGATTAGATGTAACTATGTTTAGTCAACTATTAAATAGACTCGGTGGTGTAATTGAATACACAACTAAACACAACTGATTTACAGTATTGGAATGACAACTATCCAAAAGGACAGCTGAGAGAATAACCGAATGATCAAATGGCAAAAAAGAACATAAAAACTGAAATGAAGATTGGTAGGCAATTAATAAATTATTTCCAATAGATATAGATTTAAAGTTTTATTCATTCTAAACCATATGAGTAGTATTCAATAAGACTTATGAACTCATTAACGTAAAAATGGAGGAAAATGCGGTCGGAAAAACGTGATTTTGACAATTGCTCTCTTTAAAATATGAACGCATTACTAATAACCTACCATCTGATGCTCTACCTGATTATGAGTACAGTCACCGATCATCCTATCTTAAGAATACAAACTTTTCTTGGGCACCTGATGTAGTTATGCATCATACGGACCTGGAACAATACGACGAAAGATGAACCAAAAACGCTGGATACAAAGAAATGAAGACAATGACGCATAACAGTAATAGGCGATGGAGGGAAGAGATGGGGAAAACATAGTGAGAAAGGAAAAGAGAACCTTCAAAATAGCAAGGTTTACCACCGTATCATTATTAAAAACTATTCAAAGGTCGATTTTGTCTGTTTCATGTTCTCCAGACAAGTAGCCTATTTTAGATAACAGTATGTGTTTATATAAACTGTAACTCAGCATAGTGCATATTACAGTCTCTCCAGTCAAGGAAGATCCAAAGCTGTATCAACTGAATGGTCCTCCTTACTGAGTAATCCACACCAAATGACCGAATTGTTAATGCTTTGATTCTGTAACATGGAAACGAGTACCCTAAACTTTGCACTAATCTTCCCCTTAGGCATAGAAGTGAAGCGGTGGTCTGCTTAAACTTTAACCTACCGAAAATTTTCCACCGAATATATTTCATCATATCCTTCCCTTTCAAATATGTCTTTTAAGCCGATCAAGTATTCCTGAACACTTTTAACATGATTTCAAACTGCTGTTTTTCAAGCGAACAACAAAACTAGGAAAAAATGTTACATCGGTAAGAAATGGACGTATAAATGGATAGAAATATAGTACATTACTATTTCTTGGATAACTATGTCGAATTGCAGATTCTGGTACCAGCTGAATAAACTACCGCCACCAAAATTACGCTCGATTTTCTATTCATTCACCAGTCCAAACCGGAAGCTAATGTAATACCGGGTGTCTGTTTCACACTGTGGCTTTTATCAATGTTATTATTCACATTGTTTAGATGCAATGCCTATTTAGCTTAAAGATATTGTGTGCATGGAATGAATTTGTTGAACTATTACATGCTGAAGGTTCCATACTGTATCACACATGTTGTTTGGAATAAAGCTATTATAATTAATAATTGTTATTATCACTTTCTACGGACATAAAGTAGGATAAAACTCACTGCTACCTCAGTACAATAAGTCCTCAAGAGAGAATGGTTAATTCACCAGTCCAATCGGTGACCTAATATAATGTACACCTAAGCATTTTGGATGCATATTGAGATGTCATCAAATATCAATAGACTGTGCTTGGTGTGATAGAATAATTCACCGTTATCAGAACAATATCAGTAACGATACATATTAATCATCACCTGTTAAGTGAATAAAAATGAACGAATTAAGATATACCATGAGTATGAAGTGCACGGTATAAAGTGCATTCGAAATATAAAAAAATTATATGACGTTGTATTGTGTGGATGGTAAAAAAAAAATGTACTTATACAAAAACCAATTAATAGAGCTTCTCTATCTGGGTATATTCGAGAACTATTTTTTTTTAAAAAAAACAGAGCAGATAAAACCAAAATCTAAAGACAAAAGTTTCTTCATATAATACTACAGTTTCTTGTTATCAGCTATGATAAGAAAGTGTCAAGTTAACCATAGTATGATGCCTAAAATAACTTTGGGGTCAGTAATTCATATATGGTGATACTCATAAGCGCCAACGAAATGACATTTGCAGACCTCGTAGTTTAGGTATTAAAACTTAAATAATGCAAAAAAAGAATGCAGTCCACCAATTATATGAATTAGGTCACAAGAAAATGGATCAAAATCCACAATTTAGGAAAAAGTTACATTAAACCAGTTTGCTTAGAATGAAATTAAACTAGTGTCTAATTAAAAAGATGAGCGTTTTGAGCAAGCAAAATCAACATATGGTAGATATCCGGGTAAAATAAATCAGTCGTGAAAGTGCTAAGTCAGTAATTAAAAGTCGATGGTTCGAGCTCACAGTAACCCAGGTTGTTATTCAACTTCAACCATCATCTCTATCTGCCTTTGGCTTAGTCTGCATTAAAGCTAGTTTACACATACATTTTTCATTAATAAAATGAAATTATTTTGAAGTAACCATGCTACGTTTACACAACAAATAAGATGGTAAGACTCATTAAAATGGGATAGAAATAAATTCAAAAAGTGGAGTCATAGGTTGTGACTCCTTTCAATACCAATAAGAGTATCCAAGTGAATTAAACTAATAGGGAAAAAGCGTTGTGATTGGTTGGTCTAAGCTTTTAACTATCAACTATAGGGTTGTGAGTTCGAAACCAACTTTATGTTATTTGACCTGAGTAACTGAGTAAGGATATCATGTCCTCACTAAATTACAGCCTACTGTATAATTCTGCATTAAATCACTAAGTTCCATCCACACGTTGAAAATTCCTGACAATGTACAACGATCTACAATAATCCAATCTAGTCTATTGACACAGAGAATGTAAAAACAGACTAGACAAGGATTAATTGGATCAAAGAGAGAAGCGTATTGGAAATTCTAGAATGTATGTAGGTGGGAAAACGACAGACAGAGAGAAAGAAAAAGAATCAAATCAACATATATTATAACTACCGAGTGATTCCGATGTGAGAGAAACCTACTGGAGTATTTTATTCAAGCGTTTAATGAGATCAAAAAAGCAAGGCAAATCACTACAATATCTGATATCCTTGTTATAAATCTACAAAACGTTCCGTAAACAGGCAGGGAGTGATTTTTAAAGATCTAAGGTTATAAATCTTCTGTAAAATAAGTAAATTTGTTTCTGTGTTAAATACCTGTCGCCACTTTATATCCTCGTTAAATCAATTATCTGTAGACGAGACTTATGAGAAAATCACAATCACCATCACCTTTTAACTAACACTGATGATGATAACTAGTGTAATTGAAAGTTATGCCTCAATAAGAATACCAACTCAAAAAACACTTATGACAGAACATCCATACCCTTAGTTACGAATATTCTCCGATATCTCAAGGCTGATAGTATTATTTATTGAATAAATTGAGCAGTGGGTTGTTGAATTATAAAGGAACTATATTTTTAAAATCCAAAGAAAGTAGTATCATTTATGTCCCACTTCTTCCAAAGCATACACAGATATTCATTAGTACCAGTTAAGTGAAACTCCACTTTGTGATGAACTTTACAAAACTAAGATTTAAAAATAAACACTGATGGCTTACTTTTCAGAGCTTTTGTGGTGCATTGTATTAGTTGATCCACCAATAGCATAGATCATATCATCGATTACACCCACTGCAACCCTGTTACGTGGTACTGACATTGGAGCACATGTAGTCCAGAAGTTTTTCCTTGGATCATAACAATCCATATGGGGGGCATCAATATTACCTTGTTCATTGTTATTCCTTCCTCCTACAAGATAAACACAACCACGTACAGAACAAGCAGAAAGACCACTTCGTGGACTAGGTATATCTTGTAGGCGTCTCCATTTGGCTGTAATTGGATTATAGCATTCAAATGTACTCAGTGAATATCGAAGATAACCACCAGCTGAATAAAGAATCTAGACAAAGAAAATATTATAAACTTTAGATATACATCAGAAAAAGGCCGAAAGAAGTTCAAATATATTTTAACGGTCATGTAAACAATCGTGTACTGGAACATGACTATGCTTGATAAGGTGGCTAGATAATGTAAAAAAGCTAAGTACAAAACAACAAGTAATAATAGATCATTTCCAAATCCAGCTAGTCGAGGAAATAACCAGTCGATTAAATATTCCGTTAACTTAGGAGTGGTTGAAACTCTGTCTAAGTGTAATAAGTTAGTAAGGAAATAATCATATGCTTAGTAGTATTATCAACAAAATGCATCGAAATGTATACTTCAAATTTGAGCCTAAATTTATATAAAAGATCTTAGTTATTTGGACTAAAAACGCCCTGATGTATCAGTGTTTCCATAAAAACCGATAAGTGCCAAAAACATGAATGAATCGATAATACAGGTTTATGTTTACTTGTGGGGTTTGAGTATCTTTGGTCTATCCATCTTCTCCTTTCACTATCAATATAACGTAACATAAGCAAGACAGGAGTTCATTAACCTGAAACCAGTGTGGAGATCTTATGCACTTAGCATAAAGAACAAGATCCGGATTTTCAACACCAACGTCAAGTCAGTGCTTCTATATGGTTCAGAGACCTGGCGCGTTACGAAAGGGATTTCCAACAACTGCTTACACTCGTTAATGAAGTTCAGATGGCCAGAAAGAATAAGCAACAAGGAACTCTGGCAACGGTCCAACCAAGAACCTATCACCCAACAAATATGCAGAAGGAAGTGGAGATGGATTGGGCATACACTGAGAAGACCATTCTAGGACATCACGCGCCAGGCCCTCGAGTGGAACCCAGATGGGAAACGACCAGTTGGGCGTCCGAGGGTGACATGGAGATCATGTGAAGAAGAAATGAGAGCTTCTGGGCTATCGTGGATCCAGATTCAAAAGACTGCAGAGAACAGAGTGCACTGGAGCTGTGCTACTGAAGCCCTAAGTTCCACTAGGAACCCAAGGGACAAACAATAAATACTAATTTTGAACAGTGTGTTTACTAAATACTTCACCTAAAATCAGACAGAAATGCGAAGCATTGTTAAACAGAATATGTAATTCTCATGACTAACTGAAATTTAATAGACAATAGCATTGCAGCTCAAACTGAAGTCAATAATGGTAATAAAGTGAAGTAACATAATACATAGCTTAACAAGCTATAAGTTGATTCATAATAACTTATACTCTGGATCTGTAGAATAACAGTGGATGTTCGCTTACTTTGCATATGAAGACTCAAGATATACGCCCTTACATTCGTAGCTGAGAATATTACTCAAGGACAAAACTGACGACATATAGGTTTATGCGACAAATCAGTAAGGGTACGAAATTTTGAGGGTTTATATGCCCCTAAAAGTGTTTACTTAAGCAGTTAAATTATATAAATATATAATTGGTTCTGGCAGTAAATACATGTCTCATTGCAATAAATGTAGAGGTGTTCAGTCTTGAATAGGACCGTCTTGATGACAATATTTGGTTACGGAAATCAAAAAAGTACCAATCCTGTTGGAATCCGACCTATGTGATAAGAAGTAAGGCATACAAACTGAGGAAACTGCAGTCAAAACTGTTGACCCTTAAGAATGAGTAAACAACAAATTTAGTCAACTATTCTGAAAGGTAATCAGTAATACTCTAGTTGATGTCAGTTGGTAATGAAAGCTGTCTTTCAGAAAGAAAAAAAGCATTTCTACGACATTCAACCAGTAGCTCACATCACCAATTTAGGTCATAGAATACTCACTCACCGTTGAATAAACTGTTATTCCCTCTTCAGAAAACTGCGAGGTATACTACTCGTTAACGAGTCAATCGCATAGAAAGCGCTTCTCAATGTTGTGTGGATTTGCAATTTTTACTTACATGAATGTAATTAGTGTTTTATGTTGAATGCATGAAACTTCAAGTTATATCATCACTAATTTCCAAACAAATTAACCCAATACCCCCAAACCTGAATATACACCAAAGGGAAGATAATTAGAAATGTTTGGTCAGCGAAAGTTCTCAACTTCATGCTCTCAATAAAATGCCCGGTAAAGCATAATTGCCAATTTCAGTACAACCAAAAATCTGATCCAGGTTATAATAGTCTTATTAAAGCGTAACATGACAAAATGTGCTAAAATCATATGCTGAGTTAGGACAGTATGTTTTGAAGCAAAAGCTGACTCTGCCGTTTGGATACGACAAAAAAATGAAGTATGTCACACTCATCCCAAAGACTGAAAAACTCAGACTTCATATACTCTATCAATAGAGGCTTTTAGTAAAGACAAATGACTTAAGTAAAGCAGTTTCAAGGTATATACTCAAAAAAAAGAAGAGTAATTGAACCTTCCTGCAACTACAACGTGGAATAGATCGCAACAAAAAAGTGGTCAAGAAGTTGCAGGTACATCTGAGTGCACCTAATTACCACTAGTCTGTTTTTTGGAGTGGATACGTTCGGTAGCACAACATTTACTATCCAGATCTCTCGAGAAGCTGTAAGTCGCTAAAAACAAATAATTAACCAAATTTACACCCGAGTCCGCAGAAAATCATGTGACCACAAGTGTAGCTGTTTGAATAGGTTACCAAAAACTGATAGTTATAACACTATAACACACAAAACATTAACGCTAACTATAAGTATAGAAAAATCTGCATAATGCACATAGTTAACATTGCAATCAGTCTATTGCCTTATCGCCTTTTCCTATTCCGTAGATTTGAGAAATATTGAAGTGGATTTTGAAAGCTATTGTTCACATAGTCAAAACACGTACTGGCTAAATCAAACATGAAGCAAACTAGCGCTGTATGATTGAGATTACTTGTGAGCTATCATTTGTTTTCCGCATTCAGCTATCAAAAGTCAGTCATATCAAAAATACATATATTCGCTTTTGCACAGTTATACTATCCACATATTCATGTAAGAAATACCATGATATGTCGAAATTTAGGTTTTATTACTGTGAAATTAGAGAAAACATCTGAGAAAGTACATAATACCAATCAAAACAAACCAAATGATCATGAAATAACTAATAAGAGTCAATAGATAATGAAAATGCATTATAAAAAGTATGTTTACAAGGGATACTTTCGAAGCACACAAGTTTCTTTCTGGGGTTAGGGTTAACGTTAGTTAGTTTCATGCCAAGTTTAGGGGATTGAGAATGCATTATTGGGACACCATTTAACTAAAATATTTCATTGGGCAATACTCATGTAGTGCTAATTTTCTTTCGCTTGTAATCTCTGTTCTATATTTCTATCAAAACATCTTCCTCTTTGTTGTATTGAGTTCTCTGAGCTGGATGATTTAATCGTAAAGATTTCATTGTCTTTCTAGACAACATCATCAGCACTAACTTCAATATGAAGTGAGCTGTCGATATCTCTTCGTGAGTGAGAACTCAACACAACCAAGATCATCTACCAGAGCTACAAATATTCTCTACAATTTCAAAGCATCTTCCTGTTCTGCTTACTTATGTCTACACAAAAATCAGGTGAATATGACAGCATCCGAAAACCACTGAAATTTTAGTAGTCATGTAGCTATATATGTTAGAGAATTTTTTGTCTATTCATTGAAATAAAAATACCATTAACAAAAACGTTGTGAGCAAATTTTGTTACAAAAAGAGATACTTAGCAGGTTTGAAAAAAAAATGAAATTAAAAAATATATACCTCCATAGAGCCAGAGGTCCGTTTGTTGACTGAGATATGCCGGTGTTCGATAAGGTCATCTAAGATATTTTGCAAGTGAGATTTTGCCGGGGTAGAGCCTGCAAGAAGATTACAATTTTTTATTTGTCCTTGTATAAATGTAGGAGGAAGTGTATAACATCTTACAGCAGACAAAGCTTCAAGTAATACAGGAAGTCTAGATACTGTATCGTGATTTACCCATCTGACAACTGCATTGTATACTTCAGCTTCAGTTCGTACGTTTAATTCATCTCGTTTAATTAAAGCTATAAGCTGATTAGAATGAAGCCCTAAAAACTCATCATGTTTTACTATCTCACTGAAATTTTGATCAATGAATTTTTGAGCAATAAATGATAATTCAGAACAATTGTTTGAATGTGCAAACTCTTGAATTCCAATGGCATTTGATGGATGTAATTGATGCTTCAAAAAACTGCAGCATGCCTGAACAACGTGAGACATTTGGATCATAGAAGCAGCTATAAGTAATTCACAAACATTTCGTTCACTTATTTGTATTCTACCAGTATATGCAAAATCAATCAACTTTTTTAATGCAGTTGCAGATATGTAATGTAATTTAATTTTAGGCAAAAGTGCTTCACGCATTTCACTGGTGAACATGGCTCGAAAGTAAGGCGAAGCACCAGCTAAGACAATTCGATGGCATTTAATCGATTCCGAATTCACACACAATGTAACATCAGTCAATTTTTGAGATTGAAATAATTCGTACATCGCATTCATTACCTCTTTTAAGTAGTGATTTAATTCGAATTCCATAGAAATCAAGTTATCACTTGATTCATCTGAAAGGCATGTAGGTAAAATGTATGTCGGATGGGGGATATACAAGTCTGAACTAGTTATATTAGTAAATGATGAAGTTATGGTACAGTTTGCAGATGATACAGATAATTCATCCATTGGGAAATCTTCAACATTCTCCTTCAAGATCATTTCGACCGCTATTGATTAGGTTACATAAACTGAATCATTCAGAGGTGATATCTAAAGAACAAATGAAAATAAAAATAATAGTTTGACTTGACAACTGATTGTAATTATATGCACTAAACAATGAATACTGTAAGAAGATTGATAGTGTAACTTTGTTGACCAAACCTCGGTAAGTACAGCGAGGTTTGAGTGTATGACCTATTGGTTGAAAGTTAACATATAAATGAGCTGCAGTTTCACCAAAAACAATGTGCTATTTTCTCACAAATTAAAAAATGTTTTAGGTTAAGGACTAGCAATTCTGAAGTCAATTATATCGAGGTAGCAACAGGGTGCACAGCTTTTGCAACAACTGTCACACACCAAGAACAATTAATTCCAGACACTTCCTAGGTTAGCTTAAAGTGAGCAGTAAGGAAGCCAATATTTCAAAGTGATCTTCCAGATGGATGACATCTTACATCTCATTCGGAAACACATTTATCTCAAAACTAATTACACAGTGTTTCCCATCGAAGAGAATCAATCTCACTAAGACATTTGGTACTGAACACAGGTTTTGAAATCGTTACCGTAAAAGGGTAGGTCTTCTCAAGTTTAAAGCAGAGGTCATACACAATCGTTGGGCAACTCACCTTTTATATTCAAATAAGGTTCACCGGCATTAAGTCTGACCTTGGTTAGTCTTTACATTACGATTTTTTAAAATACGTTTGTAACAGTGTCTTCCAGTGTCATGATTAAAAGCATATATTCGTATACTGGTCACCAACTGATTAGATGCCACTTTAATAGCCTGTGTCATGTATGCATAATGCTAACAGCATACTAAGCTTCGCATATATTTTAATTAAGTAACAGATCTACACTATCACTGCACAGCATTGTCTCAAAAATATAAAGTGGCAAAGTTAAAGAAGAAAACTAAAAAAAGGACAACGGAAAAATTGAAATGTATTCCCGTTATCTTGTCTAGGTTTAGGCACCAGGCCATAAGCCAAACATCTTGCACAAGGGCTCATAGTACAATTCGGCTGTTCAGACTCCAATAATTAGGAAGGGGTTAGAACCAAAAATGCACTGGTTGGAGGTCGACTGTCTAAACTGATGAGTCACAAAACCACAAGGATACAGGAAAAGTCCCTGCGTGTTCACAGTCTAATTGGGACAATTTCACAGTGCTCCCAAATTGCTAATACAGCATTCATAAATATGTTTTGCTAACAGTCGATTCAAGAGTGCCATTTCGTTCAGAGGATTTAAGGCTACCCCAACAGTGAGAAATATAAACTGTCTATATCTTTTATTTGTGACAATGTTTAGGCATTAAGTGAAGGGTGGTCAACGTATCTGCAATCTGAACAAAAGTACTCCTATTCTCTGAAGCCCGATTTTTCATGCAGTTGATGGTCAGACACAGGATATGATCCAAAAATAATTGTAGAAGACTACCTTTATTACCAAATCTGCAGCTAACCACTGGATAGTGATCGTTCAATTAGCTCTTCTGTGAGCGTAGACCTCGACCTGAACATTAAAATCCTCAACCGAGACCAAAGTATTCATACAATTTACTCGGCCGAGGACTTCCAGCTCATTATGTATGCAACTGTTATAACCTTGGTACAAGGAACTTAAAAAAACCACCTTAACCACAATCCACCCAATAAAACTGATAAGTTTCAGAAAATCGTAAGGATTCTGTGGATACAACATTTGTAGGTAGGACGCTGTTTCACTTCGCAAGCTAATTTGCTTATTGTTTTTATGGTGACTTGTAATTACAGTGAGTGAACGCGCACATTTCTTGGAGGATTTGAAATTTGGCCTCAACTCTCCAAGCAGCCAATTTTTTCGCGTCAACTCGTTTAGAATCACGATTTCGTTGACTGATAAAATATGAGATCAGCTTAGCATAAAAAGCGTAATCATAGCCTAAACAAGTATTATAAAAGTGGTGATGATTTGCATAACGTAACCTAACCCAGCATATGTTCACCTAAACGACTACGAGTCAATTTTCGTATGAGGACTTATGACATCACCCAATTGCCCAGATCAAAGTTGATGGAGCTGGATTTTAGCTCAAAAAGTACTGCTTCGGATTTTCATGCTCAAATAGTCCTTACATAACTATTACACCATGGGTAACCAAATACAATGTGACCTACTACAGTTCATTTTCGAATGGAAGCGGGAAGACACTTGTGATTTTGCATTCAGTTGCATGCAGACTAATTAATACGTTTGAACGTAATGAGGAAGAAGAGAAATCTTCCCTCTTGTCGGATACTTCTTACTATATTTGAAGGGTGTAGCTTAGCAGACCATAGATGACTTTTGATGGGTATTCAGTCAAAAGTTCAGTGTCGGCTCTGAAACTTAGTTCAACATCAACAGTAGTAAAATGGAAGGTACCTACATACGCGCGCGTGAAACAAGAAATGACAGATAGAGAACTGGTTTGATAAACTGCGCTGGTACTTCGTGTATGAGTCCATAATGCAGTACATATCAAATGTTTCTTACTAGTCCTGGGAAATTATATCCGCTTTTTGCATAGATCAAGTTAAGGTTGACAATGACTAACCGATAACGAAAACGCTACCAGTGACGCACAAGTAATTTAACTGACCAGAGACTAGTCGACAAAAGAATCGGTGAAAGCATCACTAAAAAAAAATGTTCACCGATATTCTTTCAAGGCATTAGACCCTAATAAGTGATACAACTCTCTAAAAACAGCTTCACTGGTCTGCAAAGATGCTAAGTAATATTCTTAATCAAACCACTTGTCGATATGATCTATCATAGGACGGATGGCTTCCTTCAATAAGCAACTGATTACCACACAGGTATCATAGCATTAACAAGTAATTCAAACTACGGGCGAGGTAAGAAGAATTGTTGAAAGGAAGCTCACAGTAGAAGTAGAGAGACAAAAGTTTCAGAACACTAACTTAAAAATCAGAGAAATGAGTGGAATACAGTTGTGATTCTTTGGTGATTCGAAGGTGTAAAATGAACCAAGTAGCAAAATAGGAAAAAGGGGGCAACCTTCCATTAGATGATAGAGGTTAAGCAATCAGATACCGAAAGGAAACCACACACTTTGTGTCACAGAGTATACAATCCTACATTATTTTTAAAAGCTTTTCCTAAATAGGGTCACACTGGATGAATTTGTGCGGGTTCATCGTAGTATTGTGTTATTTACTTACTAGAGTACCACTAGCTATAATGTTAACACCAATAAATCGAACGCAATTAGGGGGATGAACTCACCGAAAAGTCACTGAGATCACATATGAAATTCGTAAACGCGTACATCAATAAGGAAAAATTATTGAAGATATGGATAGTTCGATATTTTTATTTGATACACCATTGAATTCAAAATACACTCACTAACCACGAGATTTATGCAGTGGGCAATGAATGACACCTATGTGATGCCTAATGATAATAACTGGCTTCCCAGAGCTCAGTAGACAGAGCAAGTCTGCACCTACCACCAACCAGATAGAAGTCAAGGCCTAGACCAGTGGGTAACAGCTCAACATTTATCATAGAATGCTCCCTGATACACTGCAGTGTTAGCATTTCACTTAACTGACAGAATTTTAGTCGCAAATACAAACTTATCACTTGTGTCGGACCAACAAAACGAGGAATCTTCTTTTATTATATGCTGCATTTTCACCGTTCTCTGTATTTGTCGAGCAAAAGGAAACCATGAGACTTAAACTGACTTTATAGACAGCAACATTTCACTCAATCTAGTTCAACAAAAGAAACATGAGCTGCCGATGACTAAGATGCCCCATCAGTGCCTATCACTGAGTGTTGAGTGACTGCATTTCATTCCTAGGGCGCTTCATCTAAACCATTGTAGTTAAGTGGGATAACATAAGCTAATATGTGTAAAACTCAGGCAGTAGAAAAATGTAATTCCATATTAGATTTGCTTATTTGATATACAATACACCGATACAGTATTATTTACTTGATTATCAAATAAATGATATCCTCTCACTCTGTGCTACATACCAATTCAACAAATCTAATAAAGAAGTAACAAACTGTTAAATGCGACAGCTAGACTATAGATAAGTAGTTAAATATAAGAAAAAGAATGATTTAGAATCAAGTCCTTGTGATGAAAATGCAGCCTAGTTTTGCAATCATATCAAAATATGTCAGGCTTGATTTTTCTTTGACAGTAACACCTCTCAACAGCATTGTGCATACCTTCTGAATATCACATTAGGTTTTAAATGGCGTTGCTTTCTATTATGGTACAAAAGCACTACGAGATGCGTTTTCTAGACGAAGACAACAAGCACCACAACATATACGCTCACCACGCATAGCATACCTCGTGAATTGTATCAAGGTTTTTTAGGAATTCTATCAAGCTGAAACTTTTATTCCTAGCTTTGATTTATATTTTACTCTGAAGTTACCACGAGATGAAGCATACAGTCAAGTTTTAATTCGATTTCCGAATACGCTTGGGCAATGTTATAAAATACCGAAATCGAATAAGTAGTTAGGAAAATTGCGGACACCATGTTTAGCAATCATGCTGTCCAAGGTTTTCAATGCTAGATTTCATCCGAAGTAATTAATTGGATTTAAAATACCCTGGTCAACACCAATGCCTACAAACACAGTACAGCTCCGATAGATGGGTCATTAGTTTACAGCAAAAGAAAATTGATGGGTCAGCCCAAGAAATCCGTTGTTGTACACGCTTTTAGTGTCATTTAGTCTCAAACATTTCGAAACACATTGTGAACAAGAACTGGATGTCACACAAGTGCACCAATCTAAGTATCCTCACATCAAACCACAGACGTAATCTTCGATGATTAAAATGATATAAGTAAAGATAAGTAGTTTGAAATTTATAAATGTAATAAAAGGATTAAGTAGTTTACGACAAACCAAAAGACTTGATCAGTTTCACTAACTGTATTGAAAGGATGGATATGCCAGCGCGTTTTAGGATCACGTTTTATGTAGTCCCTTTCCACAAAACAAGGAAGGACTATAATACGAAAATAGTAATACGCCCAACGAACTTACAACCCTGAATCCCGCGCCGCTACTTGCGTGACCTAATTGAGGTTGTTTTGAAACCTATCCAATAGGTTAAACAAAACTATGATTTAAATAGACCATCAGTATTATCGAAATAAAAGAGGCTTTCGCCTAACTAGCCTCCGTAAACCACTAGTTCTGTTGTCATTAACCTGTATAGAAGTGAAGACAGAGAGTAAAAATCTGCGGTCAAAATACGAAAAACAATTTACTTCTAAGGAAGCTCATACGCTTATTTCAAGCATGTATCAAGTGGAAGTTTTAAGAATTCAAATAACGTGGCCTGTGTCACTTCAGTAAGAAGACAGTTCCAGGGTCTTACAACTCTCAGAGGATGTAATCTGTGTCCGATATCTAACCTGCTCCGTTTTTGACTTATTTTCATCTGATTGGTGCTGTAACTCAATAGTTCTGTTAGTGAGCGTTCTAGGAGCCTTCAAGATGTTGTCAGACATTATCGGATCCCCTCTTGGTCTTCAACGTTCCAAAGGATACAGACCAAGCGCAACCGATCATTCTGCATATGTTCAGACCTCAGGTTAGGAACAGATTTGGTTGACAGTCACTTGCTGCCTTATAAACCTACTTTGTCTTCCCGCAGAGAGGGGAAGAAACTACTGTCCTAACCTTCAGATGTGACCGTGCAGAGCCGCTGAAATATGATGAAAACATCTGCGATCGAATCGTCCAAAACTTAGTCTAAGAGATACTGACGCCATGCTTCCGCGAATTTCGTTTCTGTCACAGTTGCTACGAAGTTTAAGGTCTCGAGAGTCTCAAACATTCTAATCCTTCTCTTTTTGTGGCACTTCAATTTTTCCGCCATCGAGGCTTACAATTTTCAAGAACCAGTGCAGGCTGGTCATTGACTGACCAGTTTTGAGAAACAGTCTTCCTGACTTCTGATTTCTCCCCACAGTTGCACGTCATCACCGAAATGAAAGGCTTCAGAAGAAAACTGCCATGCCAAGTCGTTTGTGTATGATGAAAAGGGGAGTATCTAGTGTTGAACCCCGAGAAATTCCACTAGGATATTCCCTTTTTCAAACGGAAAAACCTACTCGAACTCTAAATAAATGGCTTCGCAGATCAGAAGACAACCAGTGAATGAGCCTCGATTTTATCCCGGACAATTTTAATCTGTCAATAAGGCAGTCCCGACTAACGCGACTAAATGCATCAAAAGGGTCTTGATGAACATGTTGTCTATTCGATCTTGACCATCGACAATCCTAGTTTATTTACTGCGGTAAGCAGGTTGGCATTGAAGGGGTGCTTTTATCGAAATCTGTGTCTCTGGGGAGAAAGAAGTTACTTGTGGCAACGTGATCCATTCCGTCATAAGCTGACGGCTCCATCACTTTGGAAGGCGTGGATAAGAGCCTCGTCTGTCCATATTTCTCCTCTTCTACTCATTAGCCCCTCTGGAAGGTCGGGGTTACGTATCTCAGCTTCCAAGGACAAGTCAAGGATTTTTGCCTTCAAGGATCCCTAAATGACTTACCAATAGGTGCAACCAAGACCGTTACTCCTGCCGCGGTATAGCCGCATGGGTTTTGTCTGGTCCTGGGGGGGTGCCTGTTCTGAGCCGTAGTAGTTTTCTGTGCCAGCTTGCAGTCTCATTCAACGACAGAGTTCTAGTCTGTTGTGGAGTATTTGTAAACTGTTGATTGAATGGTCGATGAAGGGAGGGTTTCCAGACATTGATCGGTCGAAAGTTCAGCTACTTCACTGACGCTGGTGTTTGGTTCATGGGGCCCTAGCCACTAAGAAATTCCCACTTTGACCCGTGTGAACGGCACAGCATTGTGGACAAGACTTTTCGTGTGGAAAGGAACTCGTTTTTATGTCTAACTTGATGCCGTTGCCGATTGGCTGCCTTCGTGCATATGTATATCGCCTATCTGAATAACTCGCACGTGCATTCGGTACAATTCTCTGTGGTGTCTTTTCTACCCAAACAGTTCACGAGTGGAGATCCTTATCACCTCAGGCGACCCGGAGCACTTCGCATTGAAAATGGAACAGACTGCTTGGTAGCATGCATGATTCTACCAACTACGAGTCGATTGTGGGTGGTTACATCCAGCTACACATGATCAACTTCCATTCTGTCTGTCTCAACGCCATCGAAAGGGCTGGAGAGTTTGGTCGTTCGAAGTTCCAGTGGGTCTGGAGCCGACAACAACATTTCCCCCCCCTGCCCAGAGGAGGAAAGATGGCTAGGCTGTCAATCGAGAACCTTTCATTTTTGTGGGGACAAATTCTATGCCGTTCGGGGTCTTAGTTTCTCTCCGTCGCGTTACTTATCTCACATTTTCAGCGGGCCCCAGCTCCTCGATCAGGTTGAAGAACCAGGCCCCACTGGAACGGTCACTCCGGCCGGACCTATGATCTGCAAAGTTAACCTTTCAAAGGCCGAAATCTCCAAGAATTAGTGCACCTACGTGCCCCAGTTTAAGAAAACAACTTGTTGCTTCTGGTGCTTAATGATCATACTGTGTCAGTGAACAGGTTCCTATAAATGACTCCATGAAACACTTAATAGCCCCGAACGACTTTACGCAGCACCACATGGACTCATGGAGGCAGTCTAGTCCATGAACACGGATTTAGTCAGCTGCAAGAGTAGAGCTAGCACGAGGCGCTGGCCCACCCTCTTACCAGTCTCCCTATCTTTGCAAGGCGGTATGATGTCGGCAACACCCAGCTCCTGACCTGCCATTTCAGGAGGAACCTATGTCTCATCATCACCCACAACATCAGGATCAGTGTCCCTACTTAGGCCTCACAGTTCATTGAGTTTGTCGAGCAAACTAGGTGTACTTGTATTGGCGCACTTTATGCCACCTAGTATGAACGCGCTTCCAGGGCCGTCTTCATTGTTCAGTTGACTGGCTGAATCCTCAAGAATGGGGGCTTGGAACTTGCTTAGGTGTGGCCTAACGGTGTAGTGTTTACCGCTCCTATTCCATTTTTGCATCCATACAGTCCACCGAAGGTATACCTAGCTCCAATCCTTTTTCCGTTTCCGTTGCAGCCTCTCATTCTGTGATGTGTTTGGCTGCTTATGGACTCCAGATAGCAGGCCATTTTTATTTGCCGAGAACGCCCCTGACATGGATGCTACCGTTCGATGGGCCGAAAGGATTCAATCAGCCCTAGTCTGGAATCATCATCCTTTTCTAGGGATCCGTGAGACGTTCTGCGCTACTTTTCCCTTAAAGCTCGTAGTATTCTTAGGGAGATCCCTCCCACGGGAGCCGTAATGGATTCCCCCGGTGCCTAGATTCATGGGTCCTCCGCTTACTGTCAGGTTTCGTCCTTAAAGTATGGCTCGTGACTGCCGCCTGGCAGTTTGTTCATAGCCAGTCTCTAGGGGTGTGTGACATCGGGTACAATCCCTACGTCTCTTTCGACTTTTAGTAGGAGTTGCCGACAACACATTCTCAACCTTATACCGGTCGTAGAATGCCAACCTCCAGAGTACGGGTCCACCGCCAATTATCAGACCGGGAAAGCGTCACAGCCTAATCGAGGCTACTGGTCTAATATGACTCAGCTTGAGTTTGACACATATGTTTTTCCACAGACCCCAACTTCCTCACTCCGAAGGTTATATTGCATATTCGAGCCATCCATCAGGTTAAAGACGATCATAGAATCGTCCCGGAAAGTGGCTTGCTTTGTTAACTGTTGACATTTGGATGTTTTTCACCTAGTTCTCCGTCTTTATTCTACTCTGGCCTCTCACGTCGGCAACTCGTTTGCTTGTTTGACTAGTTCGTGAGTGCCTCGCACGGTCTGTCGGTGATTCGATTTCACTGCAGACAGTTTTACCCCCGATATTTCCGTGTCATCTTGTCCGAGCTCGTTTAGGGTACTTGCCAACTTTCCGGACCCAATGAGTTTGACTGAAGTTGAGAACCGACTGTTTTTACTTCTCATGACGCATGTCTATGGGCCCTGTTTAGTGTTTCTATTCGGCACGACCCATGTGCTTTCTGCTACGCCCGCTGACGACTAACCCCTTCCGAAGGATTGCAGGGCAGTTGATGTTTTTGTACTACCGGGATGAATCGTTTCTTCAGTTAAACGAGCTCCTTGCTCTTTTAGGATGACCTACGCATCAATCCTGTCGTTCTATCTCCAAACTCTACAGCCTTCGTACCCGTGTTCGGCTTCCTACTTTTCCTGCTTACAGTTCCCCGCTTCTGGTCTGTTGTCAACTTGTGCCTGATGTCCGTTGACATATTAATTTGCTCTCAAGAAGATCTTGCAATTCAAATCTACGCAAAGGCTAACACTACCTGTGGCCAGGGTCGTGGGATATAGAGTTCTCAGACTACCTGAAATCTGTGCATGTGTCGTGAAACCATCCATCATAAACATCATACAGAATACCAGCCCGAATAGGTTGCTGGCAACCCTGCCTCTCACATCTGCTGCTTGGCAACTATTTCCATGAAGGTGTATAGCGAGAGGCACTGGAAACAGAGAAAGTGGATAGTCGTAGCATGTCTCAGTAAAAACAGAAATACACTTAATAATAGGCAAGAATTACTTGACTCAGAGCTTCAGAAAGATGCTTTTTTGAAAGTCAAAGCTTTTAATACATTAATGGACAGCGTCAGCCCAGGTATTAAGTCGCGGTGATGTTCCGGTTCCTTCCGAAACATACTTCCCTCAAGATAACACTATGTTTGCTTTCTGAATCCACATTCAGTCGCATTCACCGCCTCAGCTACGCAATTTGTTGTGAAAAACAACCTACCTACGTGTATGTACTGGTCCTAATGATAGTAACTTATTCTTCTTAATAAAAGAATGCACTGTATTGTAAGCTTGATCATATACTCATTCTAGTTTGACAGCCATGGTTGGCTCAGCTTCATTGCACAAAGACGATCAACAGGTTTACGCAAGCAGAGTTATTGTGCAAAATATAATACTATAATGGATATCTAAAGTTTCTATACATCACAATTTTGCACGAGGATGAATTTCACCCGCAGTTTG